CTTCTATGCGAAGCCTGTGATTCTGGTAGACAAACTATTCAAAGCATTTTGAGTTACCAACATAACCTGAACAGATAGTTCAGCAGTCTTCTTTCCGGTTAACATCATTCGTGTTTTAATCACATACTGTTCTTTGTACTTTTAATATCCAATCCCTTTTCTACCTTAAACATGAATTTTGAAAGACATGGTAGTTTATAGAAGCAAATTGGATGGAGTAGGTGGACTGTACAGCAACTTTACATATGTATGTATTGATGTGCATTAAGTAACTTCCTACTTTTTGGTATATAAACCACCACTGATTTAAAGTTAGAAGCTTTACATTTAAATTCGTTTTCTTCAAAACATCCTTTCTTTCTCTCTTCTCTAGGCAGTACTGAGTCCACTCATTGCAATTGCACTGAAAATATCTCAGATTCATGAGAGGACAGGTCGTAAGGGTCCTACTGTCATCACCTGAGTGAGAAGAATTGCTGACTCAGCCAAACTTGGGAGAGCAAGGAAGAATGAAGACACTGCTCAAACACACCAGTTCTTTGTGCCTTATATGAGTCTAAGGGCTTGAGGGCAGTTGTAGGGAGGTGGGTGAACAAAATTCATTTCATTATTAAGAAAAATGTGCGCTTGTCTATTATAGCTTTAGCGTCTTCTTGTGATGCAAATAATAAAAAATAGGGCTATCTAAATAACAAGATTTGTTTATAAGAGATGATAGAAAAGATTCCTGTATTTTGCATTTGCAAGGCAAAAATAGGCTACATGTTTCCTTGGCTAGAGCTGGCTGTAAAGCATAGATTTTTGGTAATAAAATTTTAAGAGTGTCCCATCATAATTTAAAAAGAAAGCACTCTTATGGTAGTCAAGAAAAATTTTAAAAGCTCAAAAGCAAAAGATTATTCTTGGGTCACCTTGTTTTCTAAACCCATTTGGGGGCTATGATGGAATGATTTTGAATTAAAATATAATAGGGCTCTTACTTTAGATGGTTGAAGTCCCAGAGGGGCAGAACGTCCTAGAACGTCAGCAACTTTTTCCTTTCTTTGGCACACTAAAGTATTTGCATGATACAGTGAACCACAAACTAGCCAACCACATTTTAGCCTAGTGGGTTTCTGACCCTGGTTTGTGTGGTTAACTTATGGTTCAGTGATTTGTGCAAATTTGGAAAATTTGGATAATTAAATAAACTATGTTTGAGTTAATCATGAATAAGCATGTGTGTGAACATAGCCATTGAGTCCAAGAGGTACAGCTCATGAGCAGAATCTGCAAGTGGAGCTATTCTCACCTACTAGTTACAAATATATAGCCTAGCCTGATATTCTGCAGGTCTGTTTGGAAATAAGTCCCACTGAGTGCCATAGAATGTAATCCCCCATAAATATGCATAATTCTGCAGCTTTATCCTGAGATTTTAGTTAGCTTATTATCTTTTCCAAAGCATACTGGCAACTGCCACTCCTAATTTCTCAGCTCAAGTTTTAAGAATAATGAGTACTGTTTTATGCACCAACTACTACATTTATACACACTTCATGTAACTAAATCTTACGAATTTAAAAGGGAAAAGGGGAAATTACCTTGCAGCAATCTGTTTGGCAAAGAATGTTCATGTTTTGTTCATGTCTGCTGTTATTCATAAATACCATCACCAGCATAAATGGTTTACACATGAGGTCTCTCTGCTTGTAATTTAAAAATATGACTGCTTTTTCCCAACTATTTCCTAAGCCATTTTCTATTCAGATTTGGCTCTATGCAGCTTTAGTGTAAGGAAAATACCTTTTACTATTAGTAAGCAATTGATGAAGATTTCCACTTCAGATTTACCTACTATAGCTATCTTGACAACAATCCCTGCCCTTTTGTTATCAATTTCTGTTTTTAGAAGGATATCTTTAGGCTTGTTTTCCTCACGCTCTCTCATGCATGCTTGCTTTCTCTCTCACACATACAGTTTTTTAAAATTAATATTATTTCAAAATCTTTCAAGATTAGCTTTCAAGATATATTTATGTTCTGCTTTTTAAAAGGGCTAATTATCACGGCAGAGTTCCAACTTTTATATGGGAAGGATCACCTGATTCTTTTAAAAAATCAAACGTATGAACACCATTCAAAAGAGACAATAAAAAAGCTAAGAAGGAAACGAAAAGACCAGAACACATCCCCTCCAGCAGCCTATACCCAGATAAGCACGGATTAACACCAGGAAAACAATCAAGCAGAAAACAATACCCTAATCAAGGAAGTACCAAGGAGAAAACCACACCACCACCAACACTGGCAGGGCAAGCTGCAGTATATAAACAGGGAGCAAACCCCACACTCACTTGCACTGATGATGTTCCTTAGGTAATGAAACATCTGCAAGCAAACAACCAAGCTCAGAGAGCACCAAGGACTCCACAAATGTATGCATTTAGATAATGTGGTGGAAATGGCTCTGTGTAGCATGTTCCGTTATCATGCACTGATTTATAACCATCATTCAGAAACTAGATTGGAAGTGTTTGGTTAATACAAGTGTGTGATAACTGAATATTGCATTTAGTGACATATCTGGCATAATCTGGCTTTTTAAGGATTGTATGCCCTTATATAATCGGAAATACACAATGGAGCTTAATGCTTTCAGATGAGAATATGACTCAACAAACTAGGATTCTGCTACTGAATCTATCCCCACATAACATCAACATCATATTTAGTTTTTATGGTATGTTGAAAGTGTAAGATCCCTGCTTCTATATGCTCCTTATCACCACCTCTGAAACATATCAGAAGCAATTTTTAAAGAACCATAACTCCTTTACAACAGATTATTTCCTCATCTTGACAAATGGAATTTTGGTCTTCTCAAGTGAATGGTTCTTCAAGAACTATACAGCAGCCATATAAGCTCCTGAGCCTTTTTCCAGTATATTCATAAAGCAGCAGAAAACTTGTTTTTTGTCTAAAATGGTAGAGGATGGCTAAAAAAGGAAAGCAGGAAGACTCTGGAAACAGCTGGCATTGGAGTTAAAATGTATTGTCCTTGGCAATTTTACTTAACTCTGGACAAAAGAATTACAATTCTGTTTTCCAGGTAATTTCTTCTAATCAAATGCTGTGTATCCTGCAACAGACAGGACTTTTTGGGGTATGAGTGAGTTTTTTCAATGGAGTGGAGCTGAAGAGGGAGATTTTCCCAACTAAAACACTGTCTAGGTTGCTAGTGGAACTATAATAGTTTTAGAAGTACTTGTCTAGTTCACTTAACTCTAAAAGCTCACCCAGTGTTTTACTAGAAAGTCATAGGATAAGTCATCAGGGAACAATATGGAAGAGGAAAGAGGCTTGCTCAGTGAATGCTTGGATATGGAAAATGGTTCTTGAGCTTGTAAAATAAGAACACAGCTCCATCCATAGCACAAGACATTGACATAAAGACTTCTATGTGTAACTAATTTGAATATTTTTCTTCTTGGGAAGCAGAGTTGTGACTGCCAGTTGTTACAGCGGCTTTTGTGCAATCTGAAACTTTTATAGCCGAGTAACATTGCAATGGCCAAACGTTCCTTTCTAGTGCAATCTTGAATGCTGCTGTGCTTTAGGTAATTGACTTGGGTTCTTTTGATATTTGTCAAAACTTATTATGACATTTAATAAACTGCAGTGTCCTATCTCTGCCTTGCATGAAATTGCTGATGGAACACAGCTTGCTCTAATACAACAGGTCTTTTTTAAGCTGTGTCTAGGTAAATGAGGCACTGATTATTTCTGCACAGTGTTCAATTGCAGTATTATTAAACAGATTTTTTGTAAGTCAAATGTTTTTGGTTCCTTCTTATATAACATAGTATAGTATATCTATAGTCCTTTGGCTGCATACAGCAACAAGCAGCTAATTTGGTGTTATTTCCCACTGATCTTTCATAAGAGATGTAAAGCTTTGCTATTGGATTTACATGGAGCAAGCTAAATGCTGAGAAAAATTTTAGAGATCTTTATAAATGGAACATAACTGTTTTGAATTAAAATTCACACACATTGTCATGGGTTTTGAAGTCACTGATACATATTAGAGCCAATCCATGGAGAAGGATTGAAGATGTGTTCACTTCCATTTTTGTTTTGTTACAAGCACATTGCTTCCATCTCAGCAGATGGCAGCATCTTACTAGGTTCAAGGAAATCCCAGGGCTGTAGACTAGATTGTGAAATTGCAAAAGCATCCAGAAGAAGACAGAAGCAAACCACTTCTAATTTGCTGCCAAGAAAACTACGCTGACTTGTCCATGAAGGCACTAAGAGTCGAGCTCGATACAGTTTTTCTTTTCTAAAGCTAAACATACCTGGTTTCCTTAGTTTCTCTCCCTAAGACTAGTTTCCAGCTCCCTGACTGGATTTCTTGTCCTCTGAACTAGTTCCAAATTGATAGTTTAAATCACAGAACAACATTGCACTTGGGAATGAGCTCTTTTCACTATTGAAGTGCAAAAAGAAGAGAATCCCTATCCTTCACATGCAACAAACCATTTCATTAAAAAATACTGTAACATCTTAAACCTGTTACAAAAGTAGTAGCTAAATTAATACGGAATACAGATTGACAAAAGTGTCTTGCTCGTGCGGATTACCCTAAATGTAAGACAGCATCCTAGAGTATTAAGGCTTTCCTTTACATTTTGAATAGGCAGGTACTTTTATTTACCAGGAAATGGGAATTGGGATTTCCTTTTCTGACTTACAGAAATGGGGGGAGGGGGAGTCTTTAAATTCTTGAGGTAAATCCAGTTGAATCCAGTAGTAGATATGCATAGAAGAGTGGGCTAACCTAGCTAAAAACAAACTCAAGACCTGATTGCTGTATAAAGGAACAGTGGAGGGGATAGCAGAAGAAAAAGTTACCAAGACACTTTTCCTTCCTTCTTCCTTTTTGTTTTCTATAATGGAAACGAATACACATTTATCCCCCCGCCCCCTGCCCAGCAAATGCTAGTTGTCTCTGAAAATGTATTTCATTACAAAACTTTATTACAAGAAAAAGTGCAATACAATATTATACAATTAATGTAAACCGGTTATCCCCAGACACAATAAAAAAACATTATTCTAACCAACAAATGTCAACTATTAGGTAATTTATTAGATTTCAGTCTGTAACGCTAATAGATAACAAAAAAAGCTGATCCTAAAATTTCACAAAAAGTATTTTTAAAATTACAATGTATAGAAGACATCCCAATGCTAATTATCTTACAGTGCAACTGTCTAAACCTCCGTAATTTAGTTGGCTATTTCTTTAGTTAGTTATCTGTATTGTACTAAGAGAATCTCTCCCCTCCAAAAGATATGAGAGGCAGTGAAGTTGATTAAATAGGGGTACATAATGAAATATAGTTAATTGCAATATTGATATAATTACTCTTTTTTAAAAGAATAAATACTGAATTAAGAACAAGTTAATCAGTATATTTTATCCAGAGAATGCTTTGACTTCATATTTTTGTGTGACTGGGGATGCCATTGTAACTTTGTTTCCTGTATCCCAGATACTGCACAATAGTACCACAATAATTTAAATATGGAAAAAACAAAGCAAGCCCAAACTACAACTCAGATAAGCAGTTTAAATTCAAGTTCAATTCTGAATGCAATTTCAGTGAAATAGTAAGGGTTTAAATCAAAGTTTTTGTTTACTCAAGCTGTAGAATAGGACTCTGGTAAACCAAGTCTTAGTCTTTGGTCATCTCAGCTAGACCCCAGTTCATCTCTTGGTACGGAGGAAAGCTTGCAGAACACTAAATAAGCTTAAGGGTTTAACTTTGGAAAGTGCCTTTCATCTTCCTTATGGATGCCAAGAGTATAATATTTGCAATAACGTAACTTAACCTTTTCCAGTCTGGTGCTCTTCTGATGTGTTGAACTTCAGTTCCCAAAAGGCTGGGCATGTTCGATAGATTATGGAAGTTGAAGTCAAACACATGTGAATCACACTGAGTTGATGAAAGCTAATATAACTGATCTTGCTTTGTTGTGTCTATATTTCCCATGTTCATCACTAAGATGAAGCGCTTGCTTTAAATTTCTTCATTTACTCTTTGCCTCTGGCCTTGCATGCTGCTATTCTTCTTTAGAAGATAGTGCTGGTTGCTGCAGGCATTGCTTAACAGAGGCAGAATAGAACCATCATAAGACCTTCAAGCAGATCCCGTTGTTTCCATCCATCAGCCAGCAATGCTGGGCTGAACTCATCATTCCAAATACCAGCAACACTAAAGTTTATTCCTGGTTGAAAAGACCACATTATTTCTGACACAGCCTTTCTGAATGCCATATTGCCAGCGACTGAATGCTCCCTCATTTGTATCCAGTGCACAGTGATGGAACTGCACTGTCCTTTCTTCACTTCATCACCAATGCTTTGCACACGGTGACTAAACATTGTCTATGTCCTAGAAAGGCAGATATGGCTTATCTTCTCCAGTCCTTTGACAGCCCATCTTCTTAGCAGTTGGTCTGTGACAGAGGTGCATGAGAAGCCTCTCCAAGTGTTGAGTCATCCCCTGTGGTTTGTTGCCACACAGATACTTCATAGGAAGGTGGGCGCTCTTCCTGAACACCAGTTTCCTCAATGAATTCAAACCTGCTTTCTGTGTACAAAGGTGGAGGTATGTTATAAGCATTCCTCTCTGGCTCCGGTGGGCAGACTGGCAGTGAGAAAGTCTGCTTTCCCAGATCAGTGCTGTCTTCGTAAGATGGGGGATAAAAGTCAGGCCTGCAAAAGACAGCCAAGACATGAAACACACATTATTTAAGAGTTTGGCATTAGAATGATCCCATATTAGTTGATAAACTACACAACCCTGGGCTTTCCTATTTACTCTTCACATTGACCCTTCTCTTCAAACTTCAGGAAAAAATTGACCCTCTCAATCATTTCATTACCTCAAGAGCAAAAATGCTTTCAGTTAAGTGAAGGTATGAGAAAATTTGGAGAACAGGTGTTTGGGTGGCTATTTTGCCTTACGGCCTTACAGGCATCACTGACCTTCCTATAACATTTTTCCTTTTGGGATGCTGGTGTATCCTCTGATGGCAACAGGATAAGGCTCAGCCAAGGAAGAGTGAACTTGATTAATGCTGAATACTTGTGTGCCACTAATTCCCCTGGTATTTGAACAAGAACTGCATAGATGTATTCTGTCGAAATGTGTTCCATGTGTTCCTAAATTTATTTCCTAATGAGGCTATGGTATCTTCCAAAGTGTGACATCTTTCTGGTTATCTAAGCAAGGTTTGTGCTCTGTCATATTTATAGAGCTGTTGCTTTGTCGATTGTAAGTGTTTATGGTACTGTTACCATAACAGAATAGGAAGTGACGTTTGCATCTGTAGCCGATTAACAAAGCTTGCCAGGCTAAAGGCCAGCTTGATTTTAGGAGAAACACATCGTGAGTGTAAAGGTCTTCTATTGGAGAATGGCACAGAATATGACTGGAGATTTTAAATGTAAAATAAGCAGGCAACTGCATATCACTTTAGCCTGTGCTGAATATGGCTGAAACTATCAGCTGGTTTTAAAAAAGAATGTATTCTTATCTTTTTGGAAAAATATTGTAGAGCCATAAATCCCTATGGCTCTGAGTCATCCCCTGTATTCTTAAAGACTCAGATTTGAATTCAGAATATATAATATCCAGGACCTGTTATGAGTCCTCAGGGTAGTGATCAATTCATGAGGGTGCATGTTATATGAGTTCAAGCAACCCCACAGAAATTTGGACTTAAAGATACACTTTATCTGCTCTAGAAGGTATGAAGCTCAGTATTGTCATGCTGCTCTTCTTTAAAAGAATGTGTAACTGAACATGTTCAAAACCACTGGAAGGGAGAGTCTATGTCAGTGTTTCTCAACCTTGGCAACTTTAAGATGTGTGGACTTCAACTCCCAGAATCCCCCAAGCCCCATGGCTGGCTGGGGAATTCTGGGAGTTGAAGTCCACACATCTTAAAGTCAGAAAGACTGAGAAACACTGGTCTACACTGAGAGCAGATGATTCAACCAAAGTGGCTAAGCAGGAAAGTGAATTTAGTTTTGCTGTGTCCACATATAGCACTAAACTGGATTCTTGCATGCTAGGGCACTGCCTGTGATCTAGAATGGTCAATAAAATCCAGTAAACAAGTAAGGATCAGATTAGTTTTATGAAAGATATGGAAAAAATAAACCATCTATTCTTAATCTAGTTCTCTCTAGATGGGTTGGATCATGGAAATTGTAATTTGACAAATCTGGAGAACCTAAGTATGTGAGAAGCTGAGTCTGATATCTGTAGTACCATCTAATTATCCATAGGGGAAAGAGTAGAAATTTCCTTTAAAATAAAATATGAATTATGGTAGAGAAAAAGGAAGAGATAATGAGAAAGGAAAGAAAGAATGAGAATGCTAACGACAGACAGGAGAAAAGTTGGGGAACATATTCAGTTAGATTCAGACTAAGTTACCTACCCTTAGTTCCCACTAAATCAATGGGATTTATATAATCATGGCTTATTTTATTTCAATAGGACTTAAACAAAAATTAAATCAGATTAAAACTAATTTAATCTGAGTTTCCCCTTAGAGGAAGTGGGTGGGAGGTAGTATTTCCAGACTGCTGTGGCCCCCAGCACTTAGGAGAACAAGGTGCAAACCTTAAATGTTAGGTAGGAAAACAACCGGTAAAATATATGTGTGTGCCACTTCTCAGTAGGAAGTAAACTAAGCAAGTGTTGACTCCCGGCAACTTCAACTACAGTTTTCTTGGCAAGATTTTCAGAAGTGGTTTGCCATTGCCTTCTTCCTAGGGCTGAGAGAAAGTGACTGGCCCAAGGTCACCCAGCTGGCTTGGTGTCTAAGGCAGGACTAGACTCCCAGTCTCCTCATTTTTAGCCTGGTGCCTTAACACTATACCAAACTGTCCCTCAACATGGTTATAAAATTTGGGAAATAAATAAAAAATGAATGAATGAAAACAGGGGGCAATTAAAATGTGATGTTCAATTCTCTTTACAATTGTCTGGAGAAAAATAATGAACAAATATTAGATATGATCAAACAGCAGCCAGAACTGGGGCAACATATAACATGAGACAATTAACCTGATGGGGTACCATTTAAGAAAGTGGTGTTTATAGCATATATAATTAGAGAGTAATTGCCAGGAAGAAAAGCAAGAACTTACATGAGGCAAATTCAGAGTAGACAACTGAGATGGAAAAGGAGAGGACAACATTAGGGCCAGCTGATGGCCTGAAATAGTCAACACATACCTATCTATGGTACTGATGTGACTTTCTTGAAGTCTCGGACTCCCATGTATAATGCTGTGGAACAGGCTCTTGTGCTTGCTGGCTTCATGATAAGTGCTCCAGAAGATCCCGGCAATGAGAAGAAAGAATCCCAATGGTAAGAGAAAGTACGCAACCGGCAAAGTCTTGCATTTGCACGCAGAGACACTTGAAGAGATGCAAAAGGCTCCTAAGCAAATAGTTACAAAGCCGAGCAACAGCACAAACAAGCGGACAAACGAGAAGAAGTTCTTTGGCATCTTTGCTCTTAGTCACGACCTGCCCTGGTTGGACTATTTCTCCTTCTCTGTGCACAAGTTTTATATGATCAGGGACTGATTGGCCTTTGGACACGTGTTAAGGTACCCATTAACCATTTAAAGCAGCCATAATATCCCAGATTAACTTATAATCAAAACACTGCTGAAGAAGAGACAAAAATGCTTCCTGTATTGTTTAATTGCCAACATAAACTCAGCAAACCCTTGCTGCCCTAACTACAAGATTCTTCTTAGACTTTTGGCAACTTGTTCCAAAAGTATAAAGGGGTGGTTGTTTTTTTGCTTGTAAAAAAAAAAAATTTAAAAAAATGTGAATCTTAATGCTCTATTCAAACGGACAAGAAAAATTAACTGTTCTTTTGCTAGAGACAGAGAGCATCTGGGAGCTATTTAGAATTTCCTTGACTGATCTTTTTCTATTTCATATATTCAGTATCAGTTCCAAGGCGGATGCTCAGTTCCACCATTAGGCAAGCTACACCTTTGATGTTTTTGTAGTGCATGCTGAAGACTGGGACGGTGAGGAAGAATGCTATCTTCTCACTAATTCCCACAGCACCTTTTAGGGTACCAACTGGAAATAATGGCAAAGGACTGAGAGAAGAAGAAAAAATGTTACTGCAAATGTTCTTGATTGTTCCTACAATTATTAAGCAAAATGTTGCACAACCATTGTTTCCTCTAATAATAACAATAACAGACAAGGGGGGAGCAATATGTAGATTCCAAATGAAATCACCCTCTCTATGATATCCCAAGAAGGAACAGAAGCACCCTTCTGTAATAGGAAAGTCTTCTTCTCCTTGCTAAGAATTGCCTCACATTTTTGCTATAGTCACACACATAACGCAACCAATAATTTAGATAGATTTTCTATGGCTTTCCGTCATAGTTTGCGCCTAAGGCTGCCCATATAAATCCTTGAATTGGAATCATGCTCTAGGAAGACATTTTATTATGCAGCCCTCCTTGCGTAAACCACCTGGAAAGCATATATTATCTGGTTTATGAGACACGTACGAAAGAATCAAGGGCACTGAATGAAAAGAACAAATACCACCCAACAGCCAGTCACACCACTGCCTGTTATAAATCAACTTCGTCCTAGTTTTGTTTGTACTGACTTCACCATTGTCATCTCTCTCTCCCTCTGTGCTAATAGTGGCAGAGTCCCTTGCTGTAAAGTTGTCAAGGATCTAGAATGTGCTAAGTTCCCAGCAGCAATAAGTCTACATAAAGAATAGAGCCCTTAGGGATGTCAGTGGAGAAATACCCCATTCCGATCTGTGGTCAGGATTAAGCACCTACTTCTCCTGCAGTGCGGATGTCCGTTAAAAAAGGTATGACATAGCAGAAAGAGAAACAGCTTAGTTTGTTAAATAGCTGCAGCTGTCAAAGATAAAGCAAAAGTGATTTTTTAAAGCTTGAAACATGAGCTCTCATATAGTATTTGGACTCTTTGATTATCAGTCCTTTTAAGGACAGAACTACATACTCCAGCAGAAGCCTAGAGTCCTAAGCCCTGGATTCTGCTGTTGGATACTTACATAGAGATAGGAAGATGACAATCGGCAGGCAGGACATGCTTAACCTCCCCAGCTTTCTATTTTTCCCTTTCATCCCCTTTCCTATAGAAACATTTTCCTATAACCATTCCTCCCCCAGATCAACCCTGATGCTGGAAGCAAGGCTGGGGGTGGCGATCTGGCTGTGTGTTCCAGAGCTCCAGAAGCAGGTTCACAGACACAAAATATAAAGCCAATAAGTCTAAAATCAGGTTTGCTGAATAAGCCATAATAAGCTAGCTCTGACAAGGCCGTAATGGATAGTTTCACACATCACAGCTGAAATAAGCTGAAAACAAACTATTATAGCTTAACAATACATAAACTAGGAAAAGATTGTCAGATGTTAGGTTTCAAGGCAAAAAGGATGCAAATAACAATAAGGTCAACAGCAGGTAAAAGCCAACATTCAAGGCAGCACCCAGAAATCAGACTGTAGACACAACTTTTATATCCAAGAGACGATATTCAGAAAAAAGTAAAAAGTAACAGAAGCTGGCATATAGACTCTGCAAGCCAAAATAGTTGGCTTGCAAGGGGAGTATTGCCAGTGCAGAAGATAAGGTGGTGAAACTGTGCAGCTGGAGACTCCGAGTCATTGCATCATCCATATAGGAAAGTGAGATATCAACAGGTACGGGGGAAATCCCAACATTTTAGAAATCTGAAGCATTTATCTGTGAAAGCTCCAAAAGCATTTACAAGGCCTGGCTCTATTCACTGGCTATTAAATGCTGATTGGCAGGTGGGAAAAAGGAGGAAAGAAATGGTATATTCTGGAAAACAGGCTGGTTGAATGGTGGCAACCCTGAATACCTGCACTAAAATTATACAGGAATATATCTTAATGTTTTTAAGATGGCTTTATATTTTGTCCTATTTGTTTTTTCTTGTTTCTGTTG